GAATATAAAAGACAGTTTTATCTCACTCTGCAGCTCTCACTAAGCTGCTCTAATTTAGCCCATCGTCTTAAAACTTGAATGTAACAGAGCGAGAACTCGACACGGAAATCATCGCACTCCACTGAGCCGCCGAGGGTTCATACTTAAAGCTCAAATTTTCGCTTTCTTCAAGTGTGGAGGGGAAGATGTGCTGGGAGTTAGCATCAGGCTCTCTGTGACATTTCATCTGTGATCATAAGACCGCAGCGGAGACATTTTACTGTGTGCGGTGTTTAGATTCGAGGAGACAGTGTTATGGAGCACAGTGGTCTGTCACTGACATGAGGAATGAGGGAGATAGTGAAGGTAAAGAGGAGAGGAGAAACACTGTGAGAGGAAGTGACGGGGTGGATGAAAGACGAGGACTAGAAAAGGAAAAGATGACAGAAAGATGGTTTAGGGGGCTCGGCTGCAGGGTTTAAAGTGAAGACAGATGAATAAAAAAAGCTCAAAAAGGAGCAGATTATTTTGTGTTTTTTTAAGATTCAACAACTCATAAATAATTGAGATGGATAAGACTCGAAAATATACGACTCAGGCTTCTTTTATGAATAATTAACCCCACATTAGACCTTGAACTGGAGGGCAGAGGGGATGAAAAATGGATTCAGAAGGTCTGTTGGGTTACCGAACCTGCTGAGTCATAATAATAATAACAGAGATTATTTATAGATGTAATTTTCTCCTTCACTGGTATGTCTGGGTCCATGAAAACACCTTTTTCTAGCATAAACTTGTTTTTTGTGAATATTAAAAACAATAAGCCTGACTTTGGTTACCTAAATTCACCAAAAAGTCGACCCCAAGCCTTCTCTCTTCTTCTTCCTCGTTCCTCTTCTGTCGCTCTGAGGAGGTTCAGCAGAGCAGAAACATTGTTCCTGCGCATGTTGGATGAGGAGGTCTTTTGGGTTTGTGGGCCAAGCGTCTTCGAGAGTAGGATGTGGTTGTGGTAGGACGCAGAAACAGGGACATGATGAGTAAGTCCTTCCCTTGAGGTCAAAATGGGAAAAGCAGCAAGAAGAAAGAATGATGTTATCTTAGCTCAGCTTCTTTTAAACTGGAATTTTGCAAAACAACTTATCTGCTGAGGTAAATATAGGAAATTAGAAGCAGGACTGACTTGAGTGCTGAGCTGGAGAAAATAAGCAGATGGAGGTGAGGCAGATTGATTTAAGCAGATACAAAACTTGTCTGTGTTTTTTCCTGGACCTTTTCATTCATCTTGAAATTCAGAAATATAAGACATGAACTTGAAATGAAATTTTCTAAATTATTTGAAAGATGTAAAAGAAAGAAAAGGTGGAAGAAAAAGTCTCATTAGACGGAGAAAACAAAACTGACTTTCATTAATCACTTTAAATTCATTAGTTTTCTGTAAAGCACTTCAGGAACTAAAAAAATATTAGATTACAGTCTGAGCAGCTCCAGCAATCCCTTTAATTCCATAACGGTAAAATGGTTTATTGAAGCCTCAGATAAAAGTTTTTAACGAGTTCTGAGGCAGACTGAAATCGATAGTGAACTCTCTGTGACCCACAAAAGCGGCTAACCAAATATGTGAGTGAAATCTTTAAGATTTTGATGCCGACAATAACCGCTGTCGGGGGACATGGTTACCAGCATGCAATAAAAAGGCTTAGCTCAAAATTTCAACTGCAAATACTCACGACCGAGTGAAAAAATAAGGTGCAGCGAATCATTTCCATGAAGTAGTAATCATCATATTAATCATTTTGCTCTACAGACGCAGTAGTTCATCTGCCTTAGCATCTTGATCTGACTCCATGAAGTAATGATCATAAATGTTCTTCCTTGAGCTGCGAAACTCCGCTGCACTCGGTGATCGACTCATCAGGGCTCCCCCACAAACAATTTGCTGCTGGAAGAGAGCAGGTGAGTTGTGTTTAGTCTCTTTGCTAAAGAAATCAAGCAAAGCTAAAAAGATGTTTGATGGCTAGTGCTTTGGCTGGGACCCTATATGTACTGTTGATGAAGTTAGGTGCTGTTCTGAGTGTAATTTGTGGCTATAGAGTGGCGTTTTGGTTGAGGTTTGTGCGTGGAGACGTATACTGCTGTGTATTGCTATCTTGTGTTCGTTACTAAAGTTGGTATAACTAGAGAAGCAAGAGGTCGGCAACATTCATCTCTTGTGGGCGTGTCTAACTCGGTGGCTGATTAGGATCCGCCTTCTTTTGCTTTCTACATGGCCTGTTTACTTGCCAATGTGCCATCAGTCGGAAGTTCACAACAAACATAAAAAATGAACATTTCCCTTTGTTTAGTTGATCCAGATACATTGATAAACAATAATTCATTGTTTGAAAAATACATGTTTGCAGCATTAATGTTGAATAAGTACTTTATAGTCAGTCGAGCAAAAGATAAACACAAACCATGTAGAAACCAGAGGAGGTAAAAGACTGCTCTCTCATTCACCTACTGAAGTGCTTCTTGGATGAAACATTTAGTACTGTTGCTGAGCTTTTTACATAAGTATTTATTAAATAATGCCCCTGTGCAGACGCCGTAATGGGTTTTGGCGTTCTCATATGCTTTATGCTTGTGGTCTTTAAAGGTCAAAGGCCTGATTTCTCACAGTGACACATTACAGCCCATTACTCCAGAATTCACAGAGTAAGCATGACAAAATCTCACCCTTTCCCCCTTAAAGTTCAAAGGTTGATCACACTGGAGCGTCAGACCTGCTGGTGAAAGACTCCTCTAGTTTAAAGCATCATATAAACACATGATAACTGTGTATGACAGCCCATCAGCCAAATATCAGCTCTAGTTTTAGTGGAAGCTGTTTCCCTATTCAAAATTTGAATCAAAACTGCCGTTAAATATGAACAAATCAACTTCAAATTACTTTCTAAATATAAATAGTAAAGCCTGTCATGAAACAGCGAGCTGCAAACTAACTGGAAGAGATGAATTACCTTGTTATTTAAACAGAGATGAATATCCTGACTAGCTGGGGGATCTAAAAGTCAGAAAACCTTCAAGTCAAAATGGAGCAGAATTTATTTAACAGGATAAAACAGGGGTCACTGAATCTGAGGTCAAACTATGACAAATTGGTTTGCTGAGCATGGCTACAGCAAAAGAAGTCCTCCCTGGAGGTTAGTGTCGAACTGTTTGTGCTTGTTGTGCATTACTCTGGATTAGACAGAGACATTTAACTTTATCTCTGTCTATGAATCACTGGTAAACCATTTTCTCCTACAAGATAGAGATGGGAAAAACAGTTCTTTTGACTCTACTGAATCTTTAGAATCCGTTCATTAATATGATTCGCTCAAAAGATTCGTTCAATGAATCAGTCAGTGCTTCAGAGCCCCGTCCTGCCGAGTGCAGTACACGAATGAGTGACACAGCGGTGACACAGGGCAGATGGTATAGCACGCAGCATTGCAAGGCGAGCATCCGGTGAACGAGGGACCGAAGTTCTGGTTTTTTGAACGAATCGTTCATGAACGATACAACACTACTACAAGATGACGTCTACTTTCTGTGCTTGTTTACATCCAGATGGTAAAGCGTTGTGGCAGTAGCTGTAAACTAGAACAGGCTTTGTAGTACACAGAGGTATATTTATTTGCTAAACAAGGTTTATCATTAAATCTATATGCATCTAAAAGTCTGATTAATTGATGATTAAACAGACCCTATCAACATCATTGAGACCACTTTTTTCTCTCCGCCTCAAAGTTCTATTAACTTCAGGTCTTTTCACCCACAACATCCATCCCTGTCTTCATAAAATCTCTTCTGGCGTTGAGACAGACATGAGGGAAAATGTGGGGAGACAGCATGGACGCTCTGGTTAGTTTGGTTTGGAGACGATGTTTCAAACGTCAGATAGCAGGGATCAACTCGAGGCCAAAAAGCTGGAAAGAACAGACTTCATATTATGGAAAAAAAACAAAACGACTTTTTAAGAAAAGGCTGACATAGAAAATGTGCGTAAACGATGACTGTGGTTGAGTAACAGGATGAGGCGTTAAATAAACATCCAAGGGTGTGAGTCAGAAGTGGAGATTTGTGTTTAATCTGGATTAATGATGACGAAGAGCCCCCATTGGCTCGCGGTCTTTGATTTAATGAAAGAAGGGAAGAGACAGACCCCCCGCGGCAATGTGTGCGTGTGTGAGTTTTAATGTGTGTAGGAATGAAAGAAATAGAGGAAGAAATTAATAGAGCAAAGGGTGGAGGGAGTGGGTGGTGTGTGTGTGGTATGTGTGTGTGGTGTTTAGCCAGCCACTTCATGAGAGCGACACCCTGCAGAGATAAGAGCAGCTCCGTACAAGGCTCAATTATTTACTGTTTGAAGGCTTTAGGAGAATTGAAGAGGATTGGAGAGGCTTCATGAAAATTGATGCTTTTGTTGTGGAGGGGGAGGTGAAGTTTAGACAACGGCTGCTGAGCCATTAGCGAGGGTCACCTCTGATCCGAGTGCGTGTTGACCATGTTGGTGTCAACGGCCACGGCTTGCAGGAGGAAGCCGGCCTCTGTTTAACGATGACGAATGATCCGGCGGTCTTGAAGAGAGAGAGGAAAAACGGCTGCACGCTGTGGCTCTGCGGGCGCTTGGATCTGAAGCTGCAGAGATGAGATGATCTCCTAAATTATCTCTGGATGGGAACAGCTCTTAATGATATGTTGTGATGAAGCAGCAGGCTTCACGCTGCCTGTGGTGACAGAAATAGAAGAAACAGACACAGATTAGTTGATGTCTTTTCCATATTGTTTCTGCTTCTATTGTGGAGGATGGGTGGTTGTTTTTCTTGTTTATAGAGCTGCAAATAATGGCTATTGTTGTATTTATAAATCAGTGTCACACTATTTAAAGTTGACTGATACAAACTTTCACATTTATCCCACCAACTGTCAAAAATCAAAGACAACTCTAACTCCTGAAATCTCTCAAATGCATCATTTCTTCTTTTGCACCGATAAACCTGAAGGTTGCTCACTCAGGCTTAATCTTTGTGTATCCCAATGGTTTGAACTCACTGAACACTATACCAAGGCCTCTAAATGATCTTTTATTTATTGCTATGTATCGTGCAGCCCTACTAGATATGTTGAACTCACTTTAAGGACAGGCTGCTAGATTTGGAGACAAGATCAGATCATATCAGGGCGAGCAGCTGATCACTGTGACCCTGTTTACTACAACACACAAGTTTTATTATTCTACTGAAATTTACTGTTCCAGCTATGAAACTATCTAACGCGATGCTCACCAAGTTTTATTAATGACATATGCATAATTTAATTTCAGTCAACCTGAAATCATATCTAATTGTGATCTTGCTAGTCCATGAACTCTTGACCTCAGTAAACTGATACAGTGATAATATTCTTAAAAAATGGAGGGCATGGTGAAGCTAAGCTGCGACAATCATGATACCAAAACAACTGAGAAGCACAGTGTGAAAGTATTTTGGGGTTTACACTGTAGATGGTAAAAATAAAAGACTGTGTTATCACACCGGAAAGTCTGAACCAAGGTCTGAGTTTTTGTTACTTTGTTTACATTTAGTTTGGTCTGTTTGGGTTTCAAACTGTCATTACTGCAAACAAACTAACAGACTTTACATGACAAACCTACGTAATAACGTCATCAACTACGTGCTTTGCATGTCTCTGTAGTTTATGATTGGTCATTTGACTGGTGGGCGTCTGACATCAACACGTTGAAAACAACGGATCTTGAATGTTGTAAACATGGATTAAATCGTTGTTCCCAACAAACTAGAAGTAATATACAAGGATGAATACATGTGTCGTACAAGCTTAGTGAGCAAGATAAACTACTCCCCATTTTCTGAGTTGATTTCGGTGGAAAACGACACATCCGCAGACACTAGGCCAGGTTTGGGTTAGGAGGTGGTGCGGAGTCTCAAAATGTTGTCGAGGAAGGAAATCTTGTCCTTTTCAACTGCAGACACTGCTTTTTCACAGTGCATCACACACTTTAGTGTACTGCTGCCACAGTTTCTTTACCTTTGGGTGACTCTGTTCTCCAGTCCTCTCGTACCCTCTCTCTTTCATCCTCAGACAACAGTTGAAAAGTTTTTTTTTTTTTGTGTGTGTGTTTTTTCCAGTTGGCCCCGAATAAAATGCTTTCACACTGGACATGAACCAGACTGTGGTTCAGTTTGGTCTGGACTGAGACCACCTCTTTTGGTTGGACCAAGATCCAACTGTTTGGTCTGGACCAAGGTCCTGGGGAGGTTTCACACCTATCATTTTGGTTCGGACTAAACAGAAACGCGACGAATGAGTGACTTTTATCAATGCCTCTTGCCAAAAGCTTGTAAAAAAACTGTCACCTATAAAATGACAATATTCCAATATTTCTGAACATGTTCACTTCATGTTTGATATCCGTTCAAAGTTGATCTTTTGAAAAAGGAACCTCAAAGTCAGTTCAGGATCATACATCACTCACATGAATTAAAAAAGGACTGGATGATTTATAAATCAGACATTAGCAGGCTGTAATCAGTTGTCTATGCAGGAACTGTATCCGGATTTATTCTCATGATCGGCATAAAATTAGAGTTTCTGTCAATTAATTCACTATTTGTAGACGAGAGGAGAAAAAAAACTCCATCAGTGTTTCAGCCCCGGAGTCAATCCTGACTGCACACTCAGCACCGGGATCAAACCTTCACTGCGTCTGATTCCACCACCCATGAAGATCACACAGCAGGAGTCAGAGAGCAGACGGTTCCCTGAAACAACAGCACCCACAGCTCTCCCGCTCGTCTGTTGGAGGAGCTGCAGCGACGTCAGACTGCATTTGAACAAATACAAGCCGAATTCCTCAGATTCACGAAACACCGGCAGGCAGAGCGAAGATCAAAGCGTGGAAACATTCTTGTGTATTAGGTTCACCTGTTGGAGCACCCAAAGACATCAATCACAGCTTCAGAGGAGGGTGGTCTGCAGGGAGCTTCATGTTGCAGGCTGAACAATGAAAAGTTGCTGCTGTTCTGTCAGATTGAAATATTCAGCGGTGAGGGGATTCATCTTCAAACTTCTGCTCCGTGTTCAGAAACTTTTCCTGTCTCTGTGCATTTTATCACATCAACATGTGCCGGTTTTTCTTTTTTTCGGCAGCCTGGAAACACTCTCTGCAGATCTACTATCGCTGCTCTACAGCTTGTATCAGTGCTGCTGTGTGCCAAAAACTCAGATCATACTGCCTTTCATGGGAATTTATGTGTGATACCATGAATCTGTATTTGTAAATAAAGGATAGAATCTGTAGAAAAGTCTTATTTTAGTATGGGAAGTGTTTTGTTACCGTTTGCAGTGCAGTTGTGGATTAAGTGTTGATTGTTCACGTATCAGCAGACTGTGGTGGATCTGGGAAAAGTGGTTCATGTAGAGAGCAAAAGCAGGCAGATGCTTTAATGCTCAACTACCCTGATGTAAACAAGCATAGGTGGTTTCTTGTGTAGTGGTGGAGTTTGGCTGTTTTTTTTAATCTAGAAAATAAAAAAGTTGTGTGTAAACTGTGTCTTGTTGAACTGGTATAAAACCATTTAACCTGAGCAATGTTGATCTGAAAGACATTGACATTAACCTGAAAGGAGGACCAAAGAATGGTCATGCAAGCTCTTCTAATGTTAGCCACACTAACATTAACTACCTGGACATGAATCTGCAGATTTTTTAATGTCCAAATGTTGAAATTCGTCGAAAAAATTAGTGGCTTTCGTGACATCCTTCTTAAAAAACAGAAACGCAGGTAACGCATATTAAAAAGAAGAAAAACCAAAATAAAATCAGTGTTTTTATTCGATCAGGGTAACACACAGGGTGAAACCTCTGTGTAATGGGAAACTGAGACCCACCAGAAATGCCAGTGTAGTAGACAAAATGTAGGGTGACCACACATCCTCTTTTACCCGGACATGTCCTCTTTTCTGTGGGCTGTCCGGCCTGGTCTGAGGGAGTTTTTAAATCCTTCGAACGTCTGGAGTTTTGAGTTTATGTTGCGTGGACTTATTGAGTTAGACGCGTGTAAAAAACACTTGACCCTCCCTGCGTAGTCGTGTCCTCTTTTTGGGGATTCAGAATATGGTCACCCTACAAACTGGATCTAGACATCAAAAACAGAGAAGTGAAAACTGATCTTAACATCTAAACACATGGTTGCTGTCAACGTTGGTTATCAAACTGAAATTGGAAAGTCACTCAATTGAGAGGCAGGAGCAGAAAATTATTCAATCTGAACTGAGATTTAGCCTGAACACTCTCTAGGATTGACCGAAGCCTGGATATCAGTATTGATGATAGTCTGTATTGCTGCTTCGGTTTCAAACTTTGACCTCGTTACTGTTTCTTCTGTCATTAACACCTCAACCGGTTTGGAAAGTGTACTTTGCATGAGGACTTTAAAGTAAAAAAAATGTTGTTTTTAGCATATTTATTGTTGTTTCTTTAGTTTTAAACCCTCTTCACTCTCCAAATCTAACATATATATACTTCACTCAACCTAAATTCCTCGTGCTAAACAGGAAATATAATCATAGACTCATGCGGAGATCTATGTCTGAAGGTTTTTCGTTCGTGTGTGTAAAGCTGTGGCCCTTTCGCCTCACTCAGTCCGGGTTAATAATGTTTAATGTAACATCGTTTGATGTCTGTGAATTTCCACTTTGCATGCATTAGCACAAGTGGAGAGTGTGAGACTTATCTTGTACGATAAGCATCACACTGTAAAGCAGCCAGATGTTAAATCCCAAATAATTCGACCTAGATTTAACTCTTGCATTTATCTCTCTGCCCAATCTGGCTCCGCTTTGTGGCTTTAAGATGAAGTCTCTCATTTCCAAAAAGTGGGGGTGTTTATGTGCTACTACAAATGACCTATGGTTTCGCTAGCTTTAGCATGTGTGAGAGCGTCTCGTGTTTCTTGTGGGAACCCCTCGCAGAAAGCCGCACAGAGCGAGGATTCTGGACTTTTAGTTGCTGACGATTATAAAAAGTGAAACGTGAGCGCATTCCTGAGGGCCGAGGTGGAGCTGAGAGTCTCCACAGCTGATAGCTTATTGAAAGATGAGCGTTAACAGGAAATTAGCCTACAGTAGGATCCGGAGGGGTCACAGAAACATCCATGCACACATAGAAACACACACTACATTCATCTTTTCAGCTCCTCCATTAATGATAATCCATTTTTTATATGTTCCTAACATGCATCCCCTCATTTAGCTCCGACAATAAATCACATCTGACCGCTGAATCGAAACGTGACCTGCTCTTTGTGTACGAGCTGCAGATCTGCAGACTCTCGGGCTGTAAAGTTGTGCAACTCTGCTGAACTTGTGCATTGCGTGCCCCAGATTTGGGGATGGGAGTAGAGTTGTGAGGCGGTGAGAGAGCGACAGCTGACTAGCAGGGACCAGAGTGGGGGGAGTGAGGAGGAGGAGGAGGAGGAGGAGGAGGGAGGAAGTGGTGGTGGGACAGTCAGTGTCCGCTGTTGTGGTCTCGCGGGGGCGAAAACTGAGCCAGAGGAGAGGGGTGTACAGTTGCAGCTGTTGTCCCTCCTACACACACACACACACACACACACACACACACACACACACACACACACACACACACACACACATATAGACGCACGCACACACAGATTATTCTTAGCCCCTCTAAATGAACCCGCTGTCGTTTTTAATCTGGAATGCTCACTGACCCGTTAGCTGAGTGTTATGTAAAGTTTTAATGTGTTCCTGTGAGATGGCGTTTAATCTGACAGAATATTGATCAAAGCACATTTGGCAGCACTTTAATTATAGATTATTGACAGGAAAATATGTAATTGAACTCGTTTAAACTTTAAAATGTGACACAACAAAAACAAAACATTTCTTTTTATTTAGAAGTTTAGGGCTGGATCAAACAAAGGTTCACAATGTCTGCTTTTCTTATATTTATTGTAGTTCTGATGTGTGAAATAATACAAAAAATCAAAGTTATGAAAGTTCAGATTCTTATTTTGTCCTTCCAAGAATCCAAAATTGAAGGTCCGAGTTAAAAACGAACAATTGCTTCTTGATGTTCCCGTCACAACAGTTGATTCAGATGCTGAAAACTGAAATAAGGAAGTTTTTTGTTTAATGTTTGGTCGTCCTGCTTAATTCAAGTCTATTTATTTATGTACCTGTGCGGCTGAGCGTGCCTCCGATGACTTCACACCGAACAGAAAGACCTTTTTGTTTCTGACAAACAATCACAGGATAAAATGATGTCATGTTCTATGATATAACAGGTAGCACAAAAACACTCAACAGTCTCGGTCTGGTGTGATAACTCTAAAAGAGATAAATGCAGGATGAAATCAGAGAGGGTTTTCCAGTGTATTACAGGTTTTATCAGAGCGGAGGCAGGACAGCTACAGGAGGTATTACTTACTTTCTCTGCTCTGAGTGCTCGGGGACAGAGACCGGAGCTGATTGATGTGGTTGGATGTGTGTCTCATAAAAAGCATCTCAGGGATCGAGTGTTATGAAGAACCTCTGATGAACTGCAGGACTGCGGAGTTTGTGTTTCTTTGTTTAATTATTGATGGCACTGATGGAGTTGTTGTTCAGATTTAGAATCAATTTAGTGCACAGCTGAGGCACAGGCAGTGAGTAACCTGTTAGTGATGCAGCAGCACTTTACAGAAGAGAGGAAACAAATCGCTCAGAGTGCCCGAGCAGAGAGCGAGAGTGCTAAAGCTGGTTCAGGAGTCTGAGATTTCTTTATTTTACTACTTTTCTTTGGATGCAGGATTGTAAACATATGAGAAACTTTGTTTTAAATGTAAAATTTACCCCCTTTTTCCAAGTCAAATTCTTCTATTTTGGACCAAATCTTTTTTTTATTATAAGTAGACAGTTTTCCTCGACATTAACAGCAAAACAACGTCATTGGATGTCTGACATTTCTAACATTACACTCTGACATCATATTTCTTGGTTGTTTGACATTTACTTCAGGTCCTTTCATTAACCTCTTTTTTTTTTTTTTTAAACATGCGTTTTTAGGAAAATGTGCTCATTATACTCGGGTCAACAAAATAAAAGCTCTAATTTCTGTTTTATAAATTGATATAAATCCAGCACTTTAATCTTTATTAGCGCTAATTTAAGTTCTCTTGAACATTCGGTCTTGCGGTGAGTTAATTAAGAGGGTTAATCAAACATAACACAAATATTTTTCTGTTCCACACAGTAAAAATCAGGGTTGCCAGGTTAATTATACGATAATTATCATATTAGTATGATAATTTTGCCCTCTGTACGATCAATAACCCAGAAAAAGGCTCAATGTACGTTAATTTGATAGTTTCGTGAACTTGCGGTGCAATGGGACTGTCACGGTCTGCCAGACATTTTATTTTTCAGTGTTTTATTTGCGAAACCCTAAAGGCATCTTTTTACCATGTGATGTTCCCATCCAACTGTAGTTTGAGTGATGTTTGTCTCCGAACAACGAGCATGATTGGCTGTCATTCATGCTCAGTCAGGAAGTCGACTGATGTGGGGCCGAATGACCAGTAAACTGTAGCCTCAAAATCATGAGTGCCTGTAGGACACTAAACAGAGTGACTTTATGTGACTATCATGCAACAGTGGGGTGACTATATTCTGAATTCTACGCGGGGTAGAGTCACAGAGTCATTTGTGGTAGATTTTGAGAGTTTTTCGGATCAGGTTGAGTGTTTTTTTACGCGCTTCAAACTCATTAAGTCCACGTGACACAAACTCAAAACTTCCATACAAAACCCTGGACATTTGAAGGATTTTAAAAAGTCCCCTGGAAAGGCGGGACAGCCCCCAAAAAAGAGGACATGTCCAGGTAAAAGAGGATGTATGGTCACCCTATGCAACAGTAAGATTGTTATTTTGATTATGATGGATAACTTTACCAAAAATACGATAATTTCGAGTCTCTTATATGATAATTCTGTATTTCCCATCTGACAAAAATTTCTCAGATTTATCACATGACTGACAGAGTTTAAGTGAAGACACAGAGAAACGTTTCTCTCTGAAAACAGATTTAATTTACAAAGAGTCAGTGTTACAGTTCACATGACACAAAATCACTACTGAAGGTTCGCAGAACCCCGATGAAAAATATCAACAACAGTGCTGAAAATAACACTTAGACAACTGTAAATAGGAAGAAATAAACTTTACATATACATACACATACTGTGTGATGACATCTCAGACTGTGCATCTCAGTTAAACCTCTGTGTTTGTGTTTGTGTTTGTGTTTGTGTGTATTTGTGTCTGTGTGTGTTGGACCCTCTGAATGTGTAGTATGTATTGACCTGAATACTGAGACAACACCATATGGATCGACTGGCCAAGACACTCAAAAGACCGAAGGCCTAATCCCTGCTGGCTGAGAGTTGATTGGTCTGGGATCCCTTTCTTTTAAACTGAGTGAAATTAACTGTTCTTTGTTAACAATAAGAAGTTGGTGTGTTAGATTGTCTTTGCATATCAGTGGTCCTCTTAAAAATCCGAGTATTTTGACTCAGAGCTGGCAGTATTGTTCGTAATCCTGAGGGAATTCTTATATTCATGTGAAACTCTGAAGGAAGCTTTAGTTTGTTTTCAAACTATCTGATGCTGCTTGAAATAAAAAAACAAAAACAAGTTGTACGTTATGAAACAAGAGAGAAGAGACTGTGAGTTGCAGATTAATTCGTCAGTTTGTGGTTTAAATACAAGTGAAGCATCGTCTTGGTAAGAACTGCATTAATATTACTGTGACATATTCATCTGTGAAGAATAATGAAAACCATGCGATGGGATTTTACAGGAAATGTTTGTTATTGCTCCTGTTACACTGATGACAAATATGTACAATGTTCTGTACATGAAGCTCAATCCTGTCTGATGTCTCTGTCACACAGCCCTGTCATGTATTCACCTGTGTGTCTATGTACAGTATGTAACACCATCATCATAATCCACGAAGCTTTGGGGATTAAACAAACCATTTTTGCATCTTTTTCGAGTCTGTGACGACCAAGCTTTACATAATGACCGGGTACCAGATGGCAGTCAGTCAGTCACCATTGGCTGTGCCATCTTTCCCCCTCCTCTCTCTGCGTAACAAGCCAGGACTGACGGTTGAATCAACATGTGCCATGTCTGCATGGCCGGGAAGCAATATCAGAATTTCCAACAGCACAGCTAGCAAAACAAGGAATAAATCTTAAAAGTTTAATGTGCAATCTTTAAACTAGTCATGCACTGTATTGCTGCTAATATAAGATGAGGCAAGACTTCTTCCAACTCGACTGAAACCCCTCGAAAAGTGGAAGTGTCTCATAGTTTACTCGTGTGATACATTCATTCCCTGAGCAAGGTGAATGAGACTGATGGATTTAGTAAAAACCTGAGTTTCCACGGCGTTAAAGCTTGTAGGAAACGAAAGGAAGCTTATAGCTGTGTTCAGTGGCAGTGCGTTCAGTAACAGCTGATCACTCATAAAAGCAGTAACCATGCAATCCAACAGTTGGTGTTTCCATTCATAGATGCAAAGAAGAAGAAGTGAGATACACAAGTGTACGTCCTGTTTGCCTGGGAGTGAAAGAGTCTTATTTTAGTCTGGGGTTGTTCTCCTAAAGATCTAGTGGTGATGGTGACATTCTGAGAAAACATTTCAAAGTACCGTCTCAAAGACATCCAGAGAAGCAGTCATACATGCATACAGACACACACACATAGGAAGAATTTTCAATGATACAAAACTGGAAGCATAGGTCCTCAAAAAATGCCTCCGTCTCAGACACACACAGCAAACGAGGTTTTGGTTTTGGGATTGTCTGACAAAATGATGCCCTGATAATTTTGTCGGGGTGTGAAGTTCATTGGTTTGTTTTGGGAAGATAACAAGAGTCCAAGAGTCTCATACGGGTCAGTCGTTCATTCATACACCCCTCCACAACAGCCAAAATCCCCCCTGCACCTGTCACTCACTCAGCCTGGTATCACTGGCAGTCTGTTGGTCCCTCTGTCAGACCCACACAGCTGTGTTGTAATCAAACAAGGGCTGCATTTTCTCCAGACCAGTCTCTGGCTGTCTCCTGTCTAGATAAATCCCAGCAAATGGCTGTTGGTGAACCTGGGGGAAGTGGTGGTGGTGGTTCCTCTCTGCTTCCGCTAGATGTGGACACATCTTGCCTTTGCCTTGCTGTCCGTTTGCCCAGAACGGCAAGTAGAAGCTGCCTTTTGAACTCTTTGGAACCAGTTTCTTTGGCCTCTTGGCAAGATCCCCTTCAGACATCTCAGGAGCCATCCAGCCAGGCCTTTCTTTCAACAGCTTGTCCCTGTCAGGCCTGACGCTTCGCAGGAACTTTTTGAATATATTTGTGGTTAAGGAGAACTTCCTGCAAATCTCCTGTGAGCGACTGTTTCGTAGAGGGTGAGCTGGAGTGTCCGGTCGGTCTGCCCCTACATCCATTGTCCTATCATCTCTCCTTTTCCTCCTGTCCTCCTCCTCCATGTCTTCCCTCTCCACTTCGGGCAAATCAAGCCAGTTGCCCACGAGGTCAGCAAAGACATTGTCGCCCAGCACTAAGGGCTGACGGTTGCGACTGCGGCTCATCAGAGTAGAAGTCCAGTCACTCGCGTCGTCTGTGCTTTCTTGAGAGTAGTCGCTGTCCAATGAAGGGCCCTCTCTGGAGAGGCTGTAGAGGATACCAGGAAGGTCCACCGCCTGAGCCTGACTGGGGGCCTTTGGATGAGGGTAGGGCTCTGGGGGAGGGTTCCCAACCATTGGTCCATAAAAATCCACCTGTGGGGCCATGTACCCTGACCATCTTTTGGGTATAGACTCAAGGTTGTTCTCACTTCTACCGCTTCTTTCACTTGTCTCGCTCTCACTCTCAAGACTGGATGCCGAGGAGGATGAGGTACCCATGCTGCTTCTGTTTTGAGAAAAGGTCCTGTCATCCCTGCTGAATGTATTCCTGCTCTCCAGTGAAGGTCTTGGACTTTGCCTGGGACTCGGGCTGGGTACTTCCGGCATGGTTTGGCCAAAGAAGGAACTGCTGTCCTTGCCTAAGATTACTTGAGCTGATGCTTCAGGAGGAGCTTGCGGAGCAGGATGTGGGATTCCTCTGTTGATGGGTCGACCGGAAATGTCAAGGTTGTCTAGCGCTGTCTGGACTTGAAGGAGCTTGAGTTCCTGGAGGGCTCCCATCATCGAATTCATCTGAGCGTGGAGGCCATCGCCGGCTTCTTTCATAGAAACCTGTCAGGAAAAAGAGAAGACAGACGAGATGATTATGGATCCATTTCAGACAGATTTCTTTACTCCGTTTGGCTCTTTTTGGATTGTTAGTGACCTCAAATCCACAAAAACCTCTTCACCTGTTATCTAAGACATAACATACAATAGAAAACCCGTTAGCATTCCTGCTTTTTGTCTCTGTGTCAGTTAGTCTCCTCTCTTGTCTGCTCCAAGCTGCTCTCTAGCACCTTGTTTAATTATGGGTCATGTGACCCAGTTTTGGATGACAAGCCAGAGCCCCATATGGTTTGCGTATGAGATCGGATCCAACAAATGACAGCTGTAAAGTAGTCGCACTCTCCTGTTTTATCTCAGTCTTTTGCTCTTTCTATCTCATTTTTTCTTTACCCTCCACGCAGCCAGAATCTTCTTCATCGCGCACTTTGTCTTCACTCTCACTTCTCTCTGTGTGCCGTGGTAATCACACACCCGGCTTTTATCTTCCCCCTTCTCCTCCTCTCTCTTTCTGCGCTCATCTTTTTAAGAGCCTGTGCCATGTGATCTGGACTTACGTCTTCTCCTAAAGCCAGACAGGAAGCCCAGCGGCGGTATCATGACCCGTGTCTTAACATGTAGACCTGAATCATTTCACACCTTGACCCAGACTTTGAATCATCCTCTGTATTAAACTACAGGCTTAGGTTTGTCTAGGAACACGCTCACAAAGGTAAAGGTAGACTCTGATTGATGACTAAACCTCCTTTCTTTTGAAAAGAAAAAAAAGTCGGTTGGAAGACAAGAAGAAGCACGCAAGGAATTTCAAGAAACGTGCCGGTATGTGTGGCAAAGTTGGCTAGAATATCCGAAAGCGCACCTCCAGCACATATCATTTATTAACAAGCAGAAAATCTAGATTTGCCAGGGAAACAGCAACAAGACAGTTACCTGTCAGCTGAAAATGATGGATTACTGCGCAAGGAAGCAGGCAACTATCATAAAAACAGTCAGGTATCTGCAGATGAAATATCCCTGGAAAAAGGGTTTGCAGGAAATCATAGCTCGTTCCTCAAAACTGTGTCATGTGTCTAAGAAATCATAACCTGCACCTTACCTTCCACAACTGTCACAAAGCAAGAGGTCAAATATCCCCGTCTGTCTCCCTGTTGTTTTTATCCTGCTATCCTGCACCTCCACCAGCCCGTCACTGTCTCTCACCTTTCAAACGGTTCAGTCTGACAGCCCCTATATGTATATCCCCCAATGGGGGTACACCGCTGGGTGTGAAAGCCAATCAGAGCTTGCCGTCTAGACTATAACCCCCAATCCACAGGGGGAGCAGAGTGGGGTAACTCAGGCGGAAACAGACTGACAATGAGAGGAGGGAGAAGGGGGGACAGCAAGTGAGAGGGGTGATGAGAGTCAGCCGGGTGATCAGGGGAGGGATTCTTCACCATATGTTTAGATGTCCAAGAGAAAACTGTTGATGGATTTAATTATAGATGACACCATCAGTACACATGAGGGTGGTAATAGAGGGGAGGAGAAGTGGGGGGAGGGGTAGTTAGAGAGATAAATTACATCAGGCTGTGATTCTTCATCTTGAGGGAGCTGTGATTGTGCGGTGGGAAAAGAAGCTGTGGAGGGCAACTGACAGCGTCATAAACAAAACAACCTTTAAGCACCGTGAGAGGCGGAAATAACGCAAAATGTGGGTTTACTGGGAAAACAAACAGATGCTGTTATGCTACAGTTTGATTTAGAGATACAAAGATGTGAGAAAGATGAATTTTCAGAGCTACTTTATGTTGATTTTTGAAGATGAAATATGCATCTTTAGAAAACTTTTATCTCTTCAGTCTGAATGTATGAATGAACCAAACCAAATCCACGATCGATAGTCTTTGCCTGGAGATTGAAACCTTACCATCATATTTTTTTATAGACAATTATGGTCCAAAGAGGATCAGTTTCACTTTGGTGCTCCTGGTGCCAAGATGGAAAATTTTAGATGATCACAACCATCCTACTACCTGCCTTCAGGACAAGGTACAAGACCTCCTGCACAGAAAAACATATATATATTGCCGCTGTGATGCATAAGTAAGAGCCTCCGTTTGTCATAGAAGTCCTAAATGTTGTATTTAATTAACTAATTGCAATCTTATTTGTATTGCAAGTAATTGGTTCATAAAGTAAGGCAGTTGTATGCTCCTCAGGGGGGATTGGCAAAATTTAGTATTTACACTGTCCAACTATTTTAGATCTACAGAGAGGTGAGGATGTTATATCTTGAGCTCCAATCCAGGTAACTATACACTAAATTAAATATACTTATAAATAGCAAGTCTGTTCTGCGAAATGCTGCTAAACACCTTACACTGTACCTGTAAGGAAAATAAAAATTCCCAGTATGACTTATTGGAATCAATGCTAATGTCTGCAAATAGTCTGTTTATCTGATCGTCTTAAACCATTTAAACTCCATTCAAACAGAGACAACTGGAGTTATCTGAATTTGGGACACTGCTATCAGCAAATGTTAAGCATTTCCTCTTCAATGAATTAGTTAATTGATCTTTAGAAGTGTCATTCCTTCATTTTCTGTTTACTGATCAGTCAGTTGAGGATTGTACTGTATAAGCACAGACCATTTCACAAGGTCTGTACCTTGACACTTAACCAATACTCTGCACCATTAACATTTAACCCCTAGGCTTCTCTTTGCTCGTCTCCAGCATATGGCCGAGTAGGTGCACAGAGGCGTGATTATCCTTCGAGATCAGATAATAAGCCTATCAATGCACATGCTGGGAACAAAAGCCTCAGAGCCTCCCGTTGGCTCGCTAAATTAGTCAGTGAAGGTACGAGTAATTAGCACAATCAGGTTGTCTCTTGTCTTTTGTGCCTATCGCATATGGCTGACTTCATTAGCGGTAATTCCCCCGTGTCCCGTGAGCGGCTGGGAAAGAGCGCATAATTACGGTTTACTTTCCTCCACATCAAAGGTCAGCGAGTTTGGAGGCGAGATGACGTGCCGATCTCGGTATTGTTGTTACGTCTTCACAGGCAGACATGTGGCTTTGGTAAGTTTATGCAGGGATCAGCTGTGGGATTACCACACTCTGAGTTTCCTCTCAAACCTGGACCACTCACATGCATCAAATCTGTTTTTGAAATATTATCTCCAAAGCAGACTATTCTCATGCCGTCTGAAAGAGCCACACCTGTTTGCACATGCTCACCAACAACACCCTAATTCAACACTCACATGCAACTTTTCCATTATCCCCAAAATATACAGTCCTCCCCACTGCTTATTTAAACACACTGTGTTGTTTACTGGTATTTCTATTCTAGGGATACATAAATAATTCATATTGTGCCCTGGGGAACAAACAGAGGAACAGAAGTAAACTCAACCCCATTATTCCACCTTTACCATGCCAGCTAACTCCAGGCACTACACCACTGCCACTCCAAGCTCAACTTAGTGGCCCAAATACGTCAGCCTTTTCAGCCTTCATTCAGGATGCTCAAAGTGACTTCCCAGTAATAACCTGCAGCATTTTCTACTTCAAACACAGATATTATTCATCCTACAATGTCAGACTTTAACAATGTGTGAATCAGCTCTGGGCCTATTAGAGCAAAGTCACATAGGACGCTGACCTGACACAACCCACCCAAGAACCTCCAGGTCTTCGCCCTAAAATAAAAAAGCGACGAAGAAGTAAAAGAAAAATCCATCAAATCTAATTTAACAAAAGAACTGGGATGAAATTGGGGCTGCGGGGAATTGCAGTACTGCCCAGAAACACTGGCATCATTAACCCAGTCTTGTGAAGTTTAGTTAAATCTTCTTTTTGATTTAAAGCCCCCAAGACTATTTCATCTATTTAATCCATCAGGCGTGCATTTCTAAAAAAAGATCACTTTAAAGAAGCTAGCCAAGTGAAAATCTGCTGAATGAATGAAAGAAAGAAAGAAAGACAAACAGGGACTGTCCAGATTCTCCCCCTTTTCATCCCCCCTCTTCTTCTTCTTCTGCTTCTGTGGCTGCAGTAATGCCAGCCAGCCAGACATAATTGCCAATTAAAGACTGAATGCTTCAAAGTTTAAGAACAATGGCTGGCACTCTTGAATTAATGTTGAATAGAAGCTTATTAAAAAAGTGCCAAGCGATTGATTGGCGATTCTCACCTCAAAACCCGTCTACAGCGACAAAGCATTAAGACACCATTCAGTATGAGGGCCGGTGAATTAAATACCACCAAGTGTAAATAAATCAGAGAGCCTCCCTACCTCCGTGGCAGCCTTGATATTACCTCCTTCAGTTAGTTGTGGAGGGAAAATAAATCACCGCACAAACACACTGCTGCACTCACACATGTCCAGACATGCCTCGCTTGAATGAAGTCAGTGTCTTATTTACAGCGTGTGCTTGCGCCTGCATGTTGTGCTCACTGACATACATTCAGTGCATTATTAGGTGAGAAATAAAAACACAAAAGAGAAACTGAAAACAAACCGGCGCCCTGTTTGGCTCTGAAATACGGCCTTTTTCACTGTTGTTGTTTATTCGTTATTGGCTGCAGGGGAGGAGGAAACAGTGAGGCCAAGGTTATCAGGCCCAAAAGTTCTTCCTGTTTAGAAGGAGCAGGCCAGAAGCAGTTTGTGTACTCCACCCTCCCTCCACCTCCACCCCTAATTAAAAATGAATGGTGGGCTGTGTGGGTCAAGGACAGGAATAGGGGCTCTGTCCTGGGGGATATAGAGAGGGCCTCTGTAAGTGAACTGCTGGACACGCCACAGAGGGCTATGGTCAGGCCTGAGGTCAAAACCAAGAGGGCAATAAAGCTGTGGAGAAATCACTGAAAGAAATAATTTACTGTGCATGAGGCTATGAATACCTCTTTGACCAAGAGGGTTATAAAGTGACTCTGTCTGGTGTGAAAGCCTTCAAGGGTCAAGTTCAGGAGTGGAAGAAGTGTGAAAATGTCCCACAAAGAGTGTGGGTTATGAATCCCTTCTCTACAATGTCATGACAAATTGGCCATTGACCTCGGACATCTCTTTTTGACCCCCAGTTTTCTTCTAATCTTCAATGTGCTTACAAGCTGTTATTTATATCATATGACTCTACACGTAAGGAATCTGAGGGACTGGATTCCTTCAATTACAAATATTTTCTCACCCAATGCCAAAACCAAACCTTGGCCAATATTTTTATACCAAGCTGCAACCTTTGGCTTTAAAGATGAAGCCAGTATAAGAGTGGTGTCCACTTAAGACTGACTCCGAAAGCCAAAGAAAACTGCACCAAGGCTGATATTAAAATGACTACAGTATTTTGCAGGCAATAAGGCGCGCCGGAAAGGGCTGTATCCACCAATAGTGTCAATTTACACTGGCTTCTTTCTGTTCCACTCTGGATCGCCGGACAACGCAGCTGATGGCAAGAGCTCTCTTTTTTTTCCAGATGCCAGAGCATGCCGAATAAATTCAGCACAGATTAACCCGTGCTGGAAAGGAAGTCTCCGTGTTTCAGGCGGATGGTATTTCACACCATGCAAACGGGTGGGGATGAAGAAGTGAAAGACAGCGTTTCATCCCGATGACACCATGGATGAGGAGATGCTGATTCTAGAAGTCTAGAAGTAGATTTCCTCCTCTGGAAGGACACAATCTACTACTTATATGGTTAGCCTATGTGGCTAAAGACAACTTGTTATCACGTGATTGCACATGAATCCGCGGGTTCTTGTTAGTTCTTGCAGTTCATGATGTCCGTAATCTGCCACGAAATTCGCCTCACAAACGGATCCGGAAGAAATTTGCAGACGGCGAAAATTGCCGCCATTCCGGATCGGAGCTGTTATGGATGCGGTGGAAATTCCGGGTAAGGTGTATTAAGCATTCATTGGTTTATTGTTGCTAGCGCAACAGGGGCAGTAAGCACAACAAGTAATCATACATAAGGCACGCTGGATTATAAGGCGCACTGTCAGTTTTTGAGAAAATTTAAGGATTTTAAGTGCGTCTTCCAGTCTGAAAAATACAGTATTTAGCAGCAGAATTAAACAGGTTCATAGCCTGATACAAAAATGATTCCTATCTTATCTTGCTTGTGACTATGGTACTGTTTGGATTTATAAAAGGCACGTAGAAATATGAAACTCCATTTCTACCAAGTCTGTTTAACTAGCTGCCACTTCTGTCTACACATTGTACCTTTTAACTAAAGCCAACATTTCCAATCCAGCAAAATATGTTGATATAGTGATTTAAGTTTTGAGCTTTTGTTTACTAATATTGATATTGCGTTGATTACATTGTACATCCCAAAATCATATGTTTTTATGAATTCAAAAGCTCAATTTTGTAAAATAGTTTTTTTAACCATTGGCTGGATCTTGCCCTTAATTTTACTCCTTGTGTTTCATTTCTAAACCCAAGGGAGTTGTGTGCGTGTGAGTGAGTGTATGTGTGTGTGTGTTTTATAGCCTAAATATGACCCAACCTCGTGGGTTGAAAAATCATAAGAGTCACAGTGATTTGTAACAGTATTTGGAGATCTGACAAACAATGAGACATCCTGCCAAAAGGGGCTTCCCATCACAGAATGAGTATGTAGGTCATCTTAAAAACCACCAAGTGTTTAGTCATTAATTTTGAAAGGACTCTCTGAATAATATAAAGACCTTGCCGAGAACACCTCTCATTGGAAGTACTTTACGCCAACAAAATAGTTTGTGAAAGAGTTTTGTGGGTTACTCAGATCAGCAGGAACCCTGTTTCTGGAAAGAGAGGATGCTCATGCATTTTTAAAACCTTCAATGATTTGAGTTTTACAAAGGATGTCATATTCACTTCACTTTTGTTCTCAGATCTCAGAGACAGATATCTCACTCGATTGGTAAAGAAAATACAAACTACTAGAGGATGTACTGTAAATGAGGACGGAGAATTGGGTGAACTGTATGTTTCTTTGCCCTGACGTCCTTCAAAGTCCCTGACGGCCTTTTCAGAGAAGGGAGTTGGTTTAATAGCTTGTTTCCTGCAGTGCCATCATGAAAACAAAGCTGCTATGGGGGCACAGGATGATGAGGATCCATGTCATCATCTTTGGCAGATCGTAATTTGGAGAGAGTCTTGGAGCCAATCTGCTGTCTCCCTGACTAAAAGAAAAAAAACCTTCACTTGAAGCAATCACTGCTAGATGCTTGATAACGCAGCAGTTGACGTCAGCACTTGGTGTGTGTGGGCAGTGAAAGTGCACGTCCAATTCTTCAGCCTGCAGTGGTGTCGTCAATGAGATGGTAATTTTGCAGGAGCTAGAGATCCTCCTCCACTTTTAATCTCTTATCAAATAGAGGAGAAGCATTTCCTGATGAAAATGGATGTCAGTTGTAGGATTTCATGATGAATGGCATGTTTGTGCAGCGTTAAGAGCATCTGACCACTCATTTAGTTTAGTGATATATTACAAATAGATGGGCCTTCATATGCTTCAGTGCATTCCTTCTTAATGTGGCTGTCAAGTGTGGCATACAGAGTGTTTTGGAATTGGTAATGTGCGCTTCACGCAGGTACTGACATATAATTAAAATGGGAGTTAAAGGCTGCTGTTATTAGTGTTTTCAATTAACTGTTTATCAAATAGTAGGAAAATATGAGATTTTACAAGGGCTGCTCATAATTAATTGACTCTAAGACAGCTCTCTTTGTAATCTTTGGTTTCATATCGAGCATTTTGGTGACTTTGAGTGAACTGAATTGGTTTTGCAGACCATGATGCTTCATTTAATTGTATTCAGCTGTACCAGTCAGTGAGTTTATGTTAGCAAGTTAAACATTTAGCAATTAGAAATAAAAAATGTCTTTCAGTAGCCGATAGGGCTACATGATTAATCGATTTTAAACCGTAATCGGATTATTTGATTATGACGATGTTAAAAGAATTAAATTTATCAAATTGATTTTCCTCTCTATCATGTCTCGCACCTCCAGGCAACAGTTGGTTCCCCCTTCCTGCAGGAGCGCTCCCCAGTTTCCACACACCAGTGTAAACAAACATGGCGTTTGCAAAAGAAGGCGATAATTTCGTGGCTGAATAGGACAAGAGCGAGTCAGTCGTGTGGAATTAGTAAGGCTTCACAGTTTCAGATGAAGAGCAAACCACTGTCTGAAGGCGGTATCAACCCGTCACCACGGAAATTAATTCAGGAGTAAACGCAAAGGTTTTTTGTTGCATCGGCGTTTCAGGTGACTGTAAATGGTACTTTTTGAAAATGGGTCAGAGAGTGCATAAATGTGTAAAAGACTACCATTTTATCTCCGTGTGGATGTCTATCTGCATCTCTCGAAACAATTACGTGACACACAGTGTAACTCTTTTATGGCTGCTGTGTATGTCCGGCCAAAACAACCTTAATACACATGCTCTGTACTCTTCTTCTGTGTTTTGTGCATGTTCTGTGCAGCGTTACAGCGCCACTGACTAGCTTGGCATATGCATTACATCAATTTCAGCGGTTAACTGAAAAAAAATAGGATTTTATTTTTGGCCAAAACTGTGCAGCCCTAGTAGCTGATAGAGATATATTGGACAAAATTTTTGGGCTCCCCAAAAATGTACAGCTCACAGTGTTTTGTATCTGATGAATGTGTTAATTGCATCTGCATGGAAAAGCTTTCTGCACAACAGGCTTTATAGGGTGATAATTCGTGACTGCTTCTGTTTACACTCGGTGCCACTGCCCCCAGGTGCCCAACAAATCAATTATTCCCGCACTAATGCATTACACAACACAACTTCCATTTTAGTAGCAGGACAATCCAGAAATCCAATAGCTTTTAGCATGAGATCCCCGTTTGAAGGCACAACAACAAGCAAAGTATTGAGCTAAACCTCAATAGTGGCAATACCCATGAGGAATAAAGATGTTTGTCCAGAAGAGGAAAACTGCACAGAGGCCTCAGAGTAGGAGAGTCATATGTGTGCTTACAGCATCTGTGGTTTAATTAACTGACTCTACTGTCCTCTGAAACAATAAATCTTTTCTATTTCAGCAGTGATTTCCATACAATAAACCACAATAAAGCAGGTTACTGTCCATGCGCTCCCCGTAATGATAAACAGGCTTTGTAAAAGGTTACTGGCTTCATCTCCAACACAATGATCACCCATGCAAAACCCCACAGCTGCCATCAAGAGCAGGGCCAAATTTAGTCGAAGGGAAGGAAGGGCCGGTTAGAGAATAGCAGCCGTGAGGGAGGCACAAAACATACAGGGCTCCCAGTTTAACCACTATACAGCTTTCTGATTCCACACCCTGAAGGTACCAAAGAACATGCGACTCAAAAAGCATGAAAGCTTTGTTTGGATTCGGCACTTGTGCTCAGATTTACTGATCAGATGTTTTCAGGCTTTGGCGTTGAATTCCAAGAGGAGAGTCATGTTTGAAACATGCCTCAGGTGCGAAGAGGATAAAAGCGCGTGGTGCATATAAAATAAACTAGGGGTTTGATTTATGCTCTTGTATCTGAGAGGTGGTGTTAAGCAGCTGTGAGCCCAGCATTTAGACACCATGACTCAATGGCACATCACCTTTTGAATCTCCGGCCTTAAGTAAGAAGTGAGAGCTTACCATGTCTTTATCATGACTCTTTGTTTGAGTAATGAATCATGGCTGAACTTCAAAATATGGAGCTCTTTCTTTGCTGCCCTGCACAGCTTTTATAAAGGACACTTTAAAGCGTCTTTGCAGCAACACAAGCGAAAAGTGACAATGCATTCCTAACCTGAAACCAAACTGCCGTCTCAGGTTTGAGTTGTAGCGTCGTTTGTGTGTTGGAAGTGGTCAGCAGTTAGGAGAAATAGCCCCAGACCTCATCAGGTGAAGGGTCAACGGTTTGAGCGTGACCTAACACTACCCCACACAGACTGACCCCCTCTGACTCCTGACAGTGTTCACACTTCTGTACGACTCTTGTCTGCTTTTAGAGCTTACAGAGCATTCAGTTTCAGGGGGTCTACAGAGGAGCACTGAGTTCACGTTGTAAATCAAGTCATTTTACTCTCTGCTCTTTGGCAGTGAATGTCACGCTCTTTTTCCAATAATGCTACAGGCATCGCAACCAAAACAGGAGGATTATTTAGAAGAGTCTGTTTTAGTTTTTGCAGAATTCGACTTCTTTTAAAGGATGAAACTTAGCTGAGAAAATTGCTGAACATATTGATTTTGGGATTTCATTTGTCATCTGTTTCTATGATATAATATGATAGGATACCAGAGGATATGATAACATATGGTACAATTCATACAATATTATGCAGTATAATATGATACGATTCAGTATGATACTATATGATTGGATGTAATATAACATGATCTGTTACGAAACATACAAAACCATATGATATGCATGATATATAATTTGTGGGATAAAGTACAGCATGTTTTAGTTCATCAGATGTGATACGACCCAACAGATGCAGTAAAATAGGTTACAGTATGGCTAAGTATGAAATGATATGATGTAATATGACTGTAGAATGTAAACATGCGAGTCGCCTGACAGCTATCGTCACGGATACCAAGGAAATGCTCCAGTGAGTGAGATGTAATTTGGGACAGTTCCGTCCCATTGCTCATTAACATTAGGGGTATACATGTGGACTGCTAAACTGACAGGATTACTTAAGTGTTTAGTGTCAACACCTGCAGTGCATGCACATTGTAGTAATTCTAAGGAAAACGTTGAGTTAGTTTTGAATTAGAAGTAATCATCACAGGGCCCGTGACGCACATTAATGATCATTTTTAACATCCGTACAGATGATTGTTTATGTTTAAGTCGGCCAATGTTCACAGGTAACATCTATGTATCATATTGTATGGTGACGTAACGTATGGCGACGTAATGTATCACGACGTAAGGTATCGTGAGGTTACGTATCGTGACGTAATGTATCGTGACATATTGATCGTGACATAACGTAGCATGACGTAAGGTATCATGACGTAAGGTATAGTGACGTATCGTGATGTAATGTATCATGACATATTGATCGCGACATATTGTGACATAACATATCGTGACATAACATATCGTGACATAACATCGTGACGTAACTTATTGCAACATAATGTATCGCAACACAATGTATCGCAACACAATGTATCGCAACACAATGTATTGCAACACAATGTATCGCAACATAACATTGTTTGTTTTGTAACATCATTTTGTATCGTAACATATAGTTTTGTTTCAGATCAGATCATGGGTCACCTGGCGATTCCCTAATCTCCTAATCTACAGTAATTAACAGTAAAACCAACCTTGAAAAGTAGCAGAATTATAGGATCGGCAAGAACTAAAAATGACACCAGACAGAGCCAAGTCACATATCAGCAAACTGTCCTCTGCTGTTTAATCGTTACACTGTTTATCATCTGTATTAATTACCACTGTTTATACATTTATGTGACGTGGGTAATGTAGTGGATCTAATTAATCTGTAATTATGCGGCAATGCTGTTTTATGATGGTAACCTTGACTTAATTAATTTGTTGATACTTGATGTTTATTGTGATTTATGACACAGTTGAAGTAAATCTCAACAGATTGCTGACTGACTTTGATAAGATGAAGATGGATGGATAAAAAAATCAAACACTAAAATGTCTGACTTTGCCAAATGCTAATAAGTAATCAAAGGTGTGTTTGATTTGTTGTTAATAGGCTAAAACATGCAAAGCAGTTGGCATGTTGGTTTCAAACTGAAGCCACAAGTGAGTCTGCAGAACTGCTCCTCTCGTCCTCTCAGCTGTAAATCGGTTATTAGATGTCTGTGATCTCAGCGCTGCAGATGGAGCAGCTTTAACACTATCCAGTGAGCACTAGATGAAAATCCGTCACAGTGCAAAGAAAAGTGACAACCTTGGCATTCACGCCTCTCGTACGCCGAACAACAGATTGCATCCCACATGGTCGTGTGCGGGGGGAGACTGCCTTGGCTTTTTAACCGGCATCTGCTCCCTGTTTCTCCGGTTTGATCCCCCCTGCATGGCACAACACTTTTTTCTATTATATTACCAAACAGCGCCACGGCAGCTTTAACACAACATGTCCTCCTGGCATCCAAAGCCACCAACCTCCTGAAAATCTCAAGTGCCACTTCACAGACGTGTGGCTGTGTTTTTGAGAGGCGAATGGAGAAGCCAAAGAGCAGGTCAACCACTGCAAGACACGTGAGACTTTTCTGTGGACCGGTGCCGTGATAGAAAAGACAAACTGTGTCTGCTTTGAAGATGATTCCAAATGAAATCTGTGCCAGTTAAGGCTCCTTTGAAAATGGGTGCGCAGCGTGTGACTGCCAAATGATTCAGGTCTGAGGGTACAGCTTTTGTTTTTTCACATTTCAAAGACGAGGGTAAGAGATAGCTCTCCGACGCTGCCACCATCAAACAAATGTGTTTGTAGAAGGAGAGGAGACGTAAACACATGAAAAAAGAGAGACAGATGAATCCAGGACGTAATGATGTGATGAAACTCAGTGTGACTGCCAATTTCACTCCCGCCTCTGTGATGGCGAAACCTCACAGCAGGAAATAACAGAGATGCAACTATTGGTTATTACCCTGATTGATTAATCTGATGCTTATTCCCACATTTCAATCACCAGAGTGTAGAATTTCATGTTTTTGAGCTAGGAGGCATCCAAAATGTAAGCAAAAGCTGTTTTTTGCACAATGTTTAACACAGAAAAGCAGAATTTCTGCACATTTAAGGCATTTTAAACAATTTCATTCCTGCCTCTATGATATAAATACAGAGATGCAACTATTGGTTATCACCCTGATTGATCAATCTGATGCTTATTCTCATAGTTCAATCATCAGAGTGTAGAATTTCATGTTTCCTAAAGAGGAGGCATCCAAAATTTAAGTAAAAGCGTTTTTTTGCACAATATTTAACACAGAAAAGCAGAATTTTTGCACATTTGAAGCATTTAAAACAATTTTACTATCACCTCTGTGACAGCAAAACCTTACAGCAGGAAATAAAAGAGATGCAACTATTGGTTATTACCCTGATTGATTCATCCGATGCTTATTCTCACATAAGAATTTAATGTTTTTGAGAAAGGAGGCATCCAAAATTTAAGCAAAAGCTATTCATTGCACAATATTTAACACAGAAAAGCAGAATTTCTGCACATTTAAAGCTCTGAAAACTCTCTAAATGTAAATCACAGATCAATCAGCTGCATCTACTATTTCACTTTACAACCTCAGATATCAGCTCTTCTCTCAAAAACCATCCAATTAAGTGCAGATCTCTTAAGAAGATGAAGTAAAACTGTCTTTAGCCCATAAAGCTTTCAAATATCTGCCCCAGATGTGTGGGACACAGGGGGAGATGTACACATGCTGCTGCTGGTGGTGTGCACAGAGATTTAAGCCTACACACATTAATGCGATTTTCAGAATACACATGCAGCCCCCCACTGAAGCTGGAAACGAGAATATGAGAGAGGTCTGTGAGGACACACACTGAATATCTGTTGTTAGTTTGAAGATTTTAGATTCAATTATGACACAGATTAAAACCTGTTTGCACATTTACTAATCTGCATGTTTAAAATGATTGATAAAATTAAAAAAATACAATGGTTGAAGTGGATAAAAGAATAAAACATACCAGCTCCTGCTTCAGTCGCCTCAGACACGCGTCCATGTTTCTGCATTCCGGTTTGGAGATCTGTTGTTGTTCCATTTTTTTATGAACCTTCAGACGAATCGCTCCGCCACTAGCCGCTCGTGCATGACTCTGAAAGCTCGTCTCGCGGGCAGGAAAATTAAAACATCGCTCTCGTGGATGGCAGGAAAGGAAAAAAAAGCAATCTGCGCTCGGAGATGCGCAAATCCTGCTGTGGAATGCGCGCGCGGTTCGTAATGACGCGATTTGATCCCGGGATTAAAATAAACAAGTCCTGATGACGGAAATGCGTTTACTCCAAGAAATGCTAATGAGCTCCTCTGCGTGTGTGAGTCTGAGTGTGTGTGTAAGTCTGCATCAGAAGACCACTCCGTCTGTGTGAGTGAGTGTGTGTGGAAGTGCTCCACGGCCAGTCAGCCTGCTGTGTGTGTGTGTGTGTACGTGTGTGTTTTCCCCTCTGCTGTTTCTCCATTCAAGACCAGCGCTTACGTTGTCCGTTCAATTTCCGCCAATGAGCGAGCTTCTCAGGCAACCCAGGACAGGCCAAACCTCATTCAAACTGTACGGTGGCTGAGAATAGCCACTGCTGCTGCTGCTGCAAAAAAAAAGAAAAAGAAAGCAAAGCCCGCTGCAAATAAAAAAAAGAAAAAGTCAGGATAAAAAAAAAAAGATATAAACGGAGTTAACGATGCGAAAAAAGAAGTGGTGATGAAAAAAAAAGTTACTTATTGCACCACTTCTTTTTTTTAACGAAACAAAAAAGAAGTGGTGGTGATGGATAAAACAGTTACTTACTGTGACGATAAAAGGATGCATATTAAAAAAAAGCCACATTGGAACTGAAGCTAACACGACACTGGCATCCTTCAGTTGAACTTCATATCAACTCAGGCTCTACATGGTCTAACCAAATGATACATTGAAAATTTTACGAAGTAAAATTAAACAATAACCTTTCCACTTACTTATTTTCTCTTCTTCCGGTCGTCGTCTTCTGTGTATCGTAAATCATCGTGTATCATCATGATTGATGCCCGGCAGCTCACTTCCGTTGTGGCTTTTTTAATTTGCATAGCTACTTTTTTTTGCTTGTTAACGTCCTTTTTGTTTTGTTTTTTTTTTGTTTTAATCTGCACTGTTTCTTTTTTATTTTGCAGCGGGCTTCCGTTGTGACTTCTTATTTTTTATGCATTATTTTTTATTTGCAGCAGTGGCGGTTCTCGGCCACCGTAAAACTGGGATCAAACTGGGATCAAACTGGGATCCACCTTTTATTTGAAACGAGTCCATTTGTCCTCAACAGCTTGTAATCATTTCACAGAGATCTGAAGAGAGAGGGGGACACATCTGGAAATAGTTGAATCTTTGCTTCAGGATCAGGAGTTTTGAACTCCTGGAAGAGAATAAAAAGTAAGAGTGAATATGTCTGTTTCAAACCATGACAGTCTAATGTGGATCCTGCTGTCGCTGATGGGCTAGAGAAGGAAGTTTATGGAGGATGTGTCTAAAAGAAACCATGTGTGTCATAAAGCAGCCATAGGGGCAGCTTCCTGGCCACCTTCAGGGAGGAAACACCTGAGCAGCACGCTTTTGTTGCTTAATACTGGATTGGGAAAGGAAGGAAGAGGTGCCAATACAGGAAACCCAATCTGAACACTGTTAATCTCACCGTCCACAACCATTATTGATTTGACATTTCTGCGCACATGTTGCACATGCAGAATATTAAACAACACATCCTTAAAGTGGTGCAGTTGAAACCAAGAGGGGTCTTAAAGTTCTTGGGAAAGGAAATGAGAACATTAAAGAGACTCTGTTAAACAGCTACAGAGCTTACACAGAGGAAAATGTAAACTTCAGTTATCCGTATACATGCAAAGCCCATAAGCTCACAGCCAACGCCCAAACCTGTTCTTTCTATAGCGTTGCTGTGCACTGAATACATAGTATCTGCACTTGCAATGAACCATATCAAAAGATTTAAAACAAAAAAAGTGCATGATGGATGAGGAACACTATAATTTACAGTCTATAGAGGGGCTTTTAATGCATTACATACATGAGAAAAACAAGTCCAGATCCAGTTTTTCTGCCACTTCCTCTCACTTCAGCAAAGATCTCTAGTTTTCACTCTGGAAACTCGCTGCCCTCTGACCCGCTTCAGTCATCTGGAGGTTTTATCACCAGGCCTGATGTTGGTGATTCATCCCAGATGGATATACAGACAGACAGACAAAGAGGAAGAAGAGCTAACTCAGACCTAGAAGCAGTAAAACAGGGAGAAAAATAAGAAGTAATTGTGTTTGTAATTTCAGTAAATGTGTGTTTGATTTAGTCTTACTTAAGATTCCGGTGTTTTGAATATTTATAGTCCTCACTTTTGTTCATACAGAAGGTTTATAAATTTTTCCTTTTGTTCAGTGTCATTCCATATGCAGCTTTAAAGCATCTCTGTTCATATTTAAAGATGAATAATTACAATTAAACAAAAAGCTTTCATGTTTTTATCCTCAGTCATCCTCTAATTTGTCGTCTTTACACAAAGATTTTACACACAGGCATCACAAAGAATATTTACAGCTCATCTCTGGTGCTGAATATTGAATGTTCATACCCACTTTATTTTAACATTTCAACAGTTTGTACAAAGTGCAGAGTATTAGAATAAAGTTACTAACAAAAGCGCTGAGTGTTTAGGAAATATATGCACAAGCAAAGAGAGAAGAAAGTCGAGTGTTTGATACTAGTCTGCAGCGTTAAACAGAAGGATAGTGGACATTGGAGTGTTGCACCGTGTAAATAAATGAACTCTATCATCAGTATTGCACTCTTATATTATTAAAGTTTTGACCGGTTTACAATCAGATTGCACTGTTAATTTTAATCACATGTAGTGGAAAAGCTTGCAGCCACTGAGAAATAAGTCCAGATCTAATCAGAGTGTGTGACACTCAGTGGGAGGAGTTATAAAGTTTGATGGCCACAGGCAAGAATGACTTCCTGTGACGCTCTGTGGTGCATTTAAGGGGAACATCGCACCATAATGTATCAGATCAGATCGAATCCTGTCCTCTTTTTCTTTCCTTTCCAGTCTTGATGTACTTTCTTGATTTGCACTGCGTCACATCAAGTTGTGTGAATCATGATTATCATATATCACTAAGTTGACTTGACTTACTTGGATAAAAAGTTGAGCATGTTTCTTTTTCATGACTTCTTTTTTGGCAAAAATCTGCAGAACTTGAACATATTGTTTCAATCATCAGATCCCATATATCTTGGTTATTAAAATCATAAGTGAGGATGCATGGATCTGTGGAGCATGTTTATTTTAAACAACTTCATCTCAAACCTGCAGCTGCTCCTTGCGCTTGTGTCCACTTCCTCCCAGCTGTCAGCACTGGATCAGGAAATGTCTCTGTACATCGCTCTGTGGTGAAACACATGCAGCACATGTAACAGCAGCAACTGTTCAACTATACATCACCGCAGACAAAGAGCTACATCATCCCCTCAGTGCTGTGGCTTGTTTGGTTACTCATACGATCTTGAGTTCAGGACAAAAACCATCACAATCAAACTTCTGTGTTTGTAATGTTGTGACTTCAGCTGCACAAGCTGAAGCGTTTAGGTTGTAAACAGAAACTGGTTTACCTCTTTATTAAGATAGCTGTTGCCAAACACTAATGCTGCAGCGTCTCTTCCCAAGGTCCACACCAACACACACAACATGCAAAATGTAAAATAAGACAAAACATGTCTGCTGTGTGGTTGGTGTAAGAGAAAAACAAAGCTATTGTGCTGAAATGTCCTCCGAGTCTGCCTTTGGAAATCCGAAGAACAATTGTACTCCACCACCACTAGTTGGGTATCCGTTGCACCAATTTGCATCATGTAGCTGTGATTTGTAACATGTGAGTTCGCTGGACTCCTGAGGACTCTCACTTTTATCTCCAATTTGCAAGAAGCAATTATAGTGAAACATGAAGCCGTCACTCTTGACATTCAGCGTGTTGGGAGCGCTCGCTCTTTAAAGGGCCCTCGGTTGTGCAATTTATGAAAAAAAAAAAGGTTACTGTGAATGATATTTGTTCTGTTGAATGAGTCGCAAGCGTCTTGAAGTTGGCAGACTATTTGAACAAGCACCCAGGGTATTGGTGGTGATTAGTGCTCAGGTGTGTGTGACAAACAACAGCTGAAGTACAAACAATTTACAGCTTCTGTTTAAGGTGAAAATGAAAAGTTAATTGCACCACTCTTCTAAAAGAGAATATCATCAGAATAAATCAAATCAAAATGTGAATTTGATGCAGACAGGAGTGCATAAACTTTAGCACTGATTTTGCTAATCACATCCATAGCTTGGCTAAGCCGTAAACATCTAGCTTCGACTAATTCGTGATAAAGCTGACACAGTAAAGATGTTCTGGATGTGTTTGATTCAAGATGGTAGTTTACTAAGTTTTTGAGCTAGAAAAATCTACGACACTGTGAGCGCACTCTCATTAGCGAATGAATTCAACAATCCAATGTTCTGTTTGCTTTTAGACTATCCAGCAGAGACAGAACCTTAACTTCTGTTGATAGCTTGTGAATTCTTCTCCAGTGTTGAGCATGAACCAGTCAGTTAAAGCCCAGGCTGTTAAATCAAACCTAGAAAGAGGATGGAGGTCTCTTTATTTGAGGTACTCCTCTCATTACACTTCATCAATAGAAAGCAGTTAATAGGATGTCAGCTGCATCAATATAGAATTTCAATTTTCTGTCTTGTGATTAAATCTTCCCAAACTCAGAGTTAATAAAAATGAAGTCAATTCATGCTAACTGATCTTTAACTGTGCCTTCAGGACAAGTCAATCCTATTTAAATATAATCTAAATTATGCATTAGCAGCCCTATTAATGGTCTTTTTGTGCATGTGAGAGTGCTTATCTCTTTGAGTCACTTCTCTTTACTTTAGTTTGACCTGCTTTAAATAAAGGAAAGTGACAACATACTGATGCAGTGTCTGGTTTGTAATGCGGTTACTATACTTTCTAAACTGTAATAAAACTACGTCAGTGTTGTCTGTCATCTTTCTATGATCCTGTTACATAAGTAGGTAATTATTTCCTCACACAGGGCAGACTGACAGTAGATAATATGAGCTAACAGAGAAACCAAATAACTCGACATGTATTTTATTGGTATCGTATCTCTTACTCAGTGTTTGGGGTTACGTCATAATTAAAACATATTCACCTTCTTCTGTTATGACGCTCGCTCTGTGATTTAGAGTGTGTCTGCGGCAGGTTAGTACAGTTTGATAAACAGTGTTGAGAGAAAGAAAGAAATGAGAAAACTGAGGACCTTTTAAGATGAAAATGTAATCATTTTACCTCCTGATTAAATGGATTTAAGATCTTTTTGATTCTTTTTTCCTTTCCTCTCGAATAAAGTTGGGACTGTTTTATTGACCTCTGGTTTG